AAAAGATTTATCTTGCAATTTAGTGCCTTTCTCAGACATCCTTTAAGCCACAAACCCTTCATTTAATTTTTGTTTTTACACCGACAGGTGAAATCAATCAATGAGAAATCACCTGGGTGTTGGGATTCAAACAAGATAAACCAGTAATACTTGACAGCATGTATAGATTTTAAATCAAATACATTTAACAGCATCTACCCAGGAAAGCAAAAATGGAGTTAAAATGATCCATTTCCTCACACAAAGCTTATCAGAATTCAAAAGAATCGATAATTAATCTGATTGAAATGATGTTTGATTATTTATAAGCAACATGTAACGGTTAAACCATTTGTTTCACAATTCAGATGATGAAATACAGGTGGTCACAGATAATAGGCAGACCATGTACCTCACGTTCAAGGCACCTGCAAGCAGACTACAGGCAAGCTTCATGTGCTCTGAACTCGAAAGGAAGCAATCTGGGACCTGCAGCTACTGGAACATTCATTGTTGTATTTGCACCCTCACCCACTATTTCCTGACTTTTCATGTCTACAGAAAAGCTGGATCTCTTCTCTTGCTTAAGTCTTTCTCTGGAACATGAGGGTGAACCCCAAGTATCCTCAACTACACCCTCCTTGTCAGTGCCATTATAATCCATTGCCTGACCCTGATACCACTAGCCACGCCTTTACCCCTAACATCCCTTTCTTTAATTCTGTAGCCATTGATGTCGATGTTTCTTTCTGCTGATCAATTAGTTGTTTGCGATTTAGGGTTTTTTCTTTTCAAAAAAACAGAGAGAGACAGAGAGTACTGATTGCAGTTGGTGGGTATTTTCGTCTAAATAAAACTTAAAAGCGTGTTGGCGCCAAATTCGGAAAGGGAGATGACGTGGATAACGGAATTTCGAAATGCACCAGGAAGATATAACGGGCTTGAATTTAGACTGACAGATTTGATATATTTAGAGATATCATGGGCTAATAACCCAGGGCTTTCCTTTTTTACATCTATTGGTTTCTTACTTTTATTTATTGTTCATCCTCCTCCTCCTCTTCTTCTTTTTGGAGTGAGTTTGCAAATTATATACAAGTTATAAGAAAGTTTGACCTCTCTTTTTATTTTTATTTTTATTTTTTAATTTTGAAGAGTTTTATTCAATCTAAATACCAAATGTACCATCAACTTTTTTATATTTTATAATTTATACTTCAACAATATTTTTGTTGAATTATGTTCATATATCATTTATGGTCTAACTCATAAAAAAGATTTTGATAATTAAATTGTTAAGTCGACTTGTGAATTATTGGGTTAAGTATATTATCTTATCTAAAATGATATTATTTTAATTATTATTTAAAAAAATTGATTTTAACTTGAATATATTTTGACAAATTAACCAGTTTACAAGTTAACTTATTTAATCACTCAAGTTAGATCAGTGTTAGAATTAATTCAAATTAAAACTAAAATAGGTTTTAGTTTTGAGTTGCAAAATTTTATATCAATCTAAATCTATCAAAATCTGATCAAGTTTAATGATTTTAGATGAAATCTTGGTATATTATCCTTGTTATCATTGCATTTTTATTTTTTTTCATGTTTGTAAATCTCTTGCATTGAGATTTTTTTTTTTAAAGAATGAAGTTCACTCATTAATAAAAAAATAAAAAATAAAAGAATTGAAATGCAAACTTACTGTTTAGTCATGATGTTTAGCGGTGCTTCGAATCTGCGGAGGAAATTCGAGTCCAAAAATTTTCACGCATGTGTTGGTAAAAAGCCAGGCAAGTTACCTCCAAGGCTCCGAGCCAAGTAAAGCCAAGATTGATAATAATGCTCCTTCCAGCAGTGTTTTGAAGCATTTGACTGGCCAAGAAATAAAATATCACCGAATACGAGGAGATATCATTGTCATTGTAATTATAGTTATTTAATTCAGTTCGGAGATTAACTCGTTAAGAAACTAGCTATTAAATTGTATATATTAACTTTCATCAATTTAGATTAATTTAAAAAATTAAAAAATATATTTTTAAAATTTTAATATTTCATATAAAAAATTAAAAAAAATTATATAAATATAAGCTATACATATTATAAATAATGAAGTTTAAAAAAATATTTTTAAAAACTTTTTATTTTTCATCAAAAAAATATAATTTTTTTATAAATATAAAATATATACACTAATGAAATTCAAATCTTTAATTTTTTTTTGAAACATAGAATATATATATATATATATATATATTTATATATAAATATTAAAGAGTTTCAAATCTTACATTGAAAAAATATTTTTTTTTCTTATGAATATAAAATATATGTATGAAAGGGTTTTAAATTCTATTTTAAAAAAATAATAAATTTTAAAAACTAAAAACAATATAAAAAATTATATTAAAAAAAAACTAAATCTCACCTAGATTTCTTCAAACTGAGTCAAATTACCATATAATAACCAATCTCCTAACAACAAGTTTAAGATTAATCAATCAAGTCAATCCAAATTTAGTAAGTATGAGTAATAAGTATGATTGTGATAGGATGATTCCAGAGAAGTGCATGGAAATGGAGATATCATTCTGATACAAAAAGGGGCATCCATGTGGAATTATCTATTCTTGATGGTAGAAATTGCTGTAATTGATTTATAAAATGTGTAATGAATTTTTTAAATATTAAATTGTGGATTTGATAATTGATTTGTGGGCTCCAGAGCTTAGATTTGAGTTTGATTAACAAAAAAAATTGCTATTGAATTCTGTTTGATCAATAATTATTTTTTATTTTTAAAATATCTTTTTATATGTACTATATATTGATTACATGATGAAAATTAATGAATTATAAGTAACATGTGAATTATGAAGATTCATTATAATTAATAAATTATGAGTATTAATATTTTATTTTTTAATTCATATAAATAGATGCTTTAGTTGAATGGAAAATGATTCATGAAATTTCTGTGAATTCTTTCTTTGATTTATTGTTGTTTTTTTAAAAATTCTTTCTTTGATTTATTGTTGTTTTTTTTTTAAATTTGTTTTTCTACGCTTTCTTTTTACTGCAGAGCTTAAGAGATGCTGAATTGTTTATTTGAGTCCACTGAATCTTATTTAGTAGTGCATTTAAATAAGATAGGTTTTTAGAATAATAAAAATCTGTTAAATAAAGTTTTTTTTTTGAACAAATTGATTTCAAGGATAAATAACTAATCCTCAATTAAAAAGAAAAAACTATAAAATTCCAAGAGCTCTACTAGGTAAATGCTCTATATGTATGTTTTTACTTGTAATATTATTTTAATATATAGTTTGGTATATAATCCAGAGTTAATTTTAATATCTTATATTTTTTATATATATATTTATCTCATTTTATGTTTTCAAGTTTACAATTAACTTATAATTTTACATGATTATAAACTAAAAATCATATGCTAACGTATTTAGTTTCTTATGATAACCTTTGTACACCAAATGAACTTTGTCAATATTTCCATCACATGATCCCATGAAGGTTGCAACGTAGGATCGACGAACCTAACATTGAAACGTGGATTGAGCCTGAAATCTTGTTCTTTGAAAAAAAAAAAAAAGAATCAAAATATGCGAATAGAAAAAATCTATTAAAAGTTTTTGTCTCTTTCTATCATGTTTTATTATATTTTATAAATATAAAATAAATGTACGTGATTTAACATTCTGTGTATTAAAAATAATATTAGATTCATTATTTTTTCTTGATACGATTGTATAAAATAAATGTACGTGATTTAACATTCCGTGTATTAAAAATAATATTAGAGTAACATTGAAACGTGGATTGAGCCTGAAATCTTGTTCTTTGAAAAAAAAAAAAAAAGAATCAAAATATGCGAATAGAAAAAATCTATTAAAAGTTTTTGTCTCTTTCTATCATGTTTTATTATATTTTATAAATATAAAATAAATGTACGTGATTTAACATTCTGTGTATTAAAAATAATATTAGATTCATTATTTTTTCTTGATACGATTGGTTATATTTTTAAAAACAGAGATCAAATAAAAGATAAACGTGGGAGCATCCAAAGATAGAAAAAAAAAACTATAGTGTATTTGATAAATAAAAAAATCAAATATTAAAAGTACTGTTTATTTTTAAGTTTTAAAAACGTTTTAAAAAAAAATCGAACCTGAGACCACAGAGGGAGCAAACCCCTTGATCCCAAATCCTTACCACTTGGCCACCACCTAGATGGTTTTCATTATTTTTTCTTGATACAATTAAAAAATAAAAAAATATTATTTTAATATATTTTTTAATAAAAATATTTTAAAAAATAATCAACTATCTTTAAATGGACTTTGAGTGCATGACGGTCGATATTTCAACAAATAATAATGACCATAGCAAGCCAAAAAGATGTGGGTAATATTGACCTCTAGTTTGTCTGGGTGGATTCCACGTGTAAATCTCACATGAAAGCCCACTAATTGATGAAGAAATATTCCGTAACTCGTCCAAAAAAGATCTTAACAATCCAGGTCCTCTTTACTGTCTCATCCCCTGATTAATTCCGGTGAGCTCGATATCCAGCATCTTTACCGACAACCCCGCGATTCAAAACACAATAAAATAAATAAAATCATCAAAAACACCCTAACTTTGGAAAATCCCACATTTTAACCCCTGTATGCTTGCCAAATGGCAAATGAGTCCCCATACGAGTTTTTATCAGATTTACCCTCACATCTTGTCAATTCAACCCGAATTACAAGCAACATAGTCCCTTCCTATGGTGTAAAGTTGTCACAATTTGTTTATAATTTTGCTCAAATGGATTGAAAATCGACAAAACATAACGAATATAGCCATATATAGGGTCGATTTAATGGAGAAAACTTTCTATAAGGACTGATCATGAGAGTTAACACAAAATGCAAGGGCTAAACTCGGTTTTTTCAGCGTCGACATCTCTTCCATACCGCTAGCCAACCCGCGTTTTTTGCGCATATTAAAAATCCCGCCCGCCCATTCCCTCTCCTTCTAAAAACGCTACTATATATAGATAAAAATCCATGGCACCTTTACTTCTTCAAAAGCTCTCTTCCTTTTCTATCAAGAAACCAGAAATCCTCTCTCAAAAATCAAAATCATGATCGATCTCCTTTTCCAGGGCTTATGCATGCCTCACTTCTATCCTCCTGGTTACTTTTTTCCCCTCTCCTTCGATTCTCATTTTCTCCCCCTCAACATCTAATATCGGATCTAGTGATTGATCATGTTTTAATTTAGTAATTTACTCGATTTTTGCACGCTTTGATAATTATCATTTGTTGATTTTGTTTAATTTTTATGATTTTTCTTAGGATTTTGAACGGAAAGTGAAAATCCGGAGAAGTGAAAATCCGTTTGGTGAGAGTTGCTGTTGTTGAATTGATTGATGGCGGTGGTGGTGGTGTGGAATTAGGGTTTTGGAAATGATGGGATTGGGAATTTCGCTTGTGCGGGTGCTTACAAGCTCTAATGATTACTATAGTGGATCTTTTATTGCCTGGCTAATCACAGCTGCTTTAGGATTTTTAGTTATTGTTTATAGATTAATTAATTGGCATAAAAGAGCATCGCAGAAATGGCTTAAAGCTGCGGCTAAAGCGAAGAAGCAAGTTTGGAAAAAGTTAAATGTTCCGCGGTCTGGTCATTTATGGATTGAAGATTTAGCTTATGGTCAAAAACAGCCTTCTACATGCTGTGTTTGTTTGACTTCATTGGTGTTACCATATAATGGCTGTAGTGCGTCGTTGCGTAGTGATTTTGTGCACCGTTGTGTTGTTTGTGGTGCGGCGGCTCATTTTAATTGTTCTGAGTTTGCGGTGAGGGACTGTAAGTGTATTGCGCAGGCAGGGTCTAGTCATGTGAGGCATCATTGGTCAGAGAGATGGTTTAATATGGATGAGAATCCTGAGATGAGTGCGTTTTGTTCTTACTGTGATGAACCGTGTGGTGTTACTTTTATTGATGCTTCACCGACGTGGCATTGTTTGTGGTGTCAGAGGCTCATTCATGTGAAATGTCAAGCTAAAATGTCAAAAGAATCTGGTGATGTTTGTGATTTGGGTCCCCTTAGGAGGATTATTCTTTCACCACTCTGTGTGAAGGAAGTTGATGGAGGAAACAGTTTAAGTTTGATCACTGAGGAAATTATAGCCTCTTCTGTTCGTGGGCAGATGAGAAGAAAGCAGCGCAGCAGGGGCAAGCATGGAGATGATCACCCTGTTAATGGTAAGTTGCAGGGTGCAACAACTGCCACTAGAGACTTGGATTTTGTGTTGAATGGGTTTGCAGGATTGAACAGATCCAGCAGCGATATTGATTTCCACTGCTTAAAGAAGAATGGCAGGATAAAGTACACACTTAATGGCCTAATGCATAATAAAGGCGGAACTGCAATCTGTGGACAAGTTAAGAAGTATGCATTGGCTGATTTGGCTCAAGATGCAAGGCCCCTTTTGGTCTTCATTAATTCCAAGAGCGGAGGTCAACTTGGGCCTATTCTTCGAAGGACACTGAACATGCTGTTGAATCCTGTACAGGTGATATAGTTTAGCTCCTTAATAGTTATCACAAGAAAAGTGGACCTTTAATTCCTTAAAAAAATTGTTTTCATAATCTTTCATTGTCATGTCAAACGTGTTATTTTCATCATCCAACATTTTTTTTTAATTGTAAGCATATTTTATGAGGAATCTCCATAATGTGCTCTCTAAGTGCGCTATAATGTGGACTTCATCTAATGGAGTTAATTTCCTGTGAAAGCTTTTTTATGGAAAAATAAAGTGGCTTTGGTTTCCTCTTGCATTACTTCCACATAGTGGTTGTTATGAATAATTACATTTTCTCACTTACATTGCCTGTAACAGCTCATATGGTATATGGCTGAATTTCTTAATTCTCCATTGCAGGTATTTGAATTAAGTGATTCGCAGGGGCCTGACATTGGTTTGGAGTTATTTAGCAAGGTGCGGTATTTTAGAGTTTTGGTCTGTGGTGGAGATGGAACTGTTGCATGGGTCCTTGATGCTATTGAGAGGCGCAACTTTGAATCTCCACCACCTGTTGCGATCATTCCCCTTGGTACAGGAAATGATTTATCAAGGGTCTTGCAATGGGGAGGAGGCTTCTCAAAGTTTGATGGACAAGGTGGCTTAAGCACACTTTTGCAAGATATCGACCAAGCTGCAGTTACAATGCTAGATCGCTGGAAAGTAAATATCAGAGAAGAGAATTCAGAAGGGTATATGGAAAGAGAACAATCCAAATTCATGATGAACTACTTAGGTAGATCTATCAAGTTGTTACTTGGGATTTTTTTCATCAATCTTGTTTCACGGATTGCTTCATCAATCTGTTACTCATTGCCAATTTTTCTTTTGCAGGTATTGGATGTGATGCTAAGCTTGCATATGAATTTCACATAACACGTCAAGAGAATCCCGAGAAGTTCAGTAGTCAGGTAGCTATATTTTTGTTTTGGCTGTAATGTATGTTGTTAAATCAATGGCCTGATACCTCACTCAAAAGAGCTTTAGTTTTCCATAGCATGCACCCTGTTGGACAGTAATGTATCTGTACAATTTTAAAATCTATGAGACACTGGCAGTACAGTACAATTTCTAAAACCTCCCTGTTTCAGAGTGGAAAAGAAGGTTCAATGCTGGAATTTGTTTTACCAATTCTTTGTTCCCTTCTGTTTGTTGTTTGATTTATCCTTTATTCTCACTCAAACATATTCCTTATAGTTGACCACCCTTCTTTGTTGAAATCTATTGGATGCATGCTTGCTGTAGGATATCCCTTGAGCCTGAGGGTAGTTCAATGTTTTGGCTGAAAAAATGCTCGTGTATATGTTGTCCTGCAACTGGACAACTTCATTCAGTACCATAATCAGGTTGTTGGATCATTAGTATACGGCATTGTTGCTAGGCAATGCCAAGTGCATTTTAATTTAAAGAATAAAAGAACAATCGAGCTTTATTTTTTTTTAAAGGTAAACATGCTTAGACCGAAGTTCAAGATACCGAAGTGCTCCAGGTTACTATAGCTTTCTTTTCCTTTCCGTTGTAATTTCAATTTGATATTTCAGAAACGGGCCTTTGATCTTTGTTCTCTGTTTGCTCTTGGAATTTGTCTAATTAAAATTTAATGTGCAGTTTGTGAATAAATTACGATATGCCAGAGAAGGTGCCAGAGATATGATGGATAGAGCTTGTGCTGACTTACCATGGCAGGTTTGGCTTGAAGTTGATGGGAAAGACATACAGATTCCAAAGGTACTTGATTAGATGTTATCTTAGTATTTTCGCCGCTTTCTTTCTTGTTTTAATTGCATTTAAAACATGTTTCTTTCTTTCATATTTTCAATGCTGTGTTCTTTCATCCTTCTTTTCCCTCCAGGATTGTGAGGGTTTAATTGTGCTGAACATTGGCAGCTATATGGGGGGCGTGGATCTTTGGCAAAATGACTATGAACATGATGATGATTTCAGTCTTCAATCCATGCAAGATAAAATGCTTGAAGTTGTAAGTGTCTGTGGAGCATGGCACCTCGGCAAACTTCAGGTTTGTCATTTTCTGAATATAGGTTCCTTCTTTTCGTTCACTCTCTGTGTGAGAGAGAGAGTTCCAAGTGTTTATGTAGAGTTTCATCTCAGGGACTTCAGATTTCTGATTTTCTGAAAATAGATTCCTTTTTATCATTTACTTTGTATGTGTGCATATGTGTGCGTGCTATGCAACCAGGCCTACCTTTCATTGCAATCTACAGTTGATAACTTTTCTAAGGTCTAATTGTAGTGTGGGTTTCTAAGCATCTGAACAGTTAGAAGGGAGCTTGTTTGTCTTTATAGGATTTCATTACCCTTTTTCTAATGCCTGTCTACCTCTATTTAGAAGCCCTGTCATTGTAAAGCTAAGTGGATTGAGCAGCTGATGGCAGATCTCTAATGGGTTGTGTCAGGGATGAGGGGAAAAATCATCTGTAGAATTGGAAGGTTTTCTCTAGGCCAAAACAAAGGCAATCCGTAATTCACTTTTTTCTACCACACTTCCTCATTTGTACAGCATATCCAGTTTCTATTTTTACAACATGGATGGTGGTGGCGTCTCTTGGGATTTTAATGATATAGAAATAGAGCATTTTGTAATTTCTGTCAGATTCTTAAATCCTTGTCACTCTCTCTTTAACCAAGATGGTTGGATGGGAAACTTTAGAATAATTTTGGGAATTTTCAGTACAACCTTTTCACCTCTGCTCAATTGTATCTAGAAAGCCAAATGACTATTCAAATTCAAGGTGGTTATAAAGTTTCTTAATAAAAAATTATTGCCCATGGACCTTTTATAGCTGAGGAGAGGAGGAGGCTTCACAGGACATTGCCACAATGAGGTTCTTTCAGCGTGCATTAACAACAGGAGGTGCATAACCATCCTTCTCTGATGTTGTTTGCTGGCTTGGGAGTTTTGGTGTAGGCTTTTTGCATTTTGCTGAGAAAAGTGGGTGGTTCTGAGTAACATGGTATGGTTTGATCTTCTTGAAATTTGTAGGATTGGAGAGGGGGTAAAATTTAAAAATATTTGGGAGGTATCGTATATTATTGTGCTTTCTAGCATGTGGTTGGAGCAGGTTCTGCTATCTTCAAAAGTCATTTTCTCCCAAATAATTAGGAGTGAATAATCTTCTAGGCCTGTTTATGGCGCCTGCTATTTAGAGTGTTTTGATGTTGTTCTCTGTTACACTTCTGATTTTGTAGTGTGCTTGTTTTTTTTTTTTTCGTTTTTTCCCTAATGCTCGTTCTACTATTCAGGTTGGACTTTCACAAGCAAGGAGGCTAGCACAAGGGAAGGCCATCAAAATACATGCTTCAAGTGCTTTCCCAGTTCAGATAGATGGGGAACCATTCATCCATCAACCTGGTTGCTTAGAAATAACGCATGATGAACAGGTATTATATTCCTTCTCTTATAATGCACTTGATGCTCACATAAGAGGCTTGGCTGATGGATCCCTGCTTTTCCATGGCACACCTAATCTCATAGTTCATGTGTTTGCATTTTTACTTGATGATCCTTTAACGCTGGAAACACCAGACACAGCACCCTGTCATTTGAACTTCTAGATACTGATCCCTCCCTAATCACTATGTAAGTCATACTGATAATCTTGAGGTGAATAAGGGAGAAACTTGATCCCTTCCCCAGTAACTGCAGAAGTGCAACTATGGGAGAAATGCTTCTTTCTCTGTGAAGGATTACTGAATTAAAAATGATGAAATGTAACATACTGATTTAGAATCATTTTTATGATCTTCCTAGACTGTCGATGAAGTTCATGAACCCCTAGTACATGAATAAGAGTAAAGATTATTTAGTGTAACTATGACTAAGAAATTAAGATCAAGTGTATGAGTTGAGAATTAGAACAAATAGGATATATAAATCGGAGGAAGCCAAAAAATACAAGAAGCAAAGGGAGGGGCAAACAGCAACTGGAAAGAAAAATGGAGTCCAACTTTGTGCACAAGTCATGATAATAAACCATATAGACGCACAACCTCAATTTTGTAGGAAGCATATACAAAAAAACATTCAACAAAAAGCAATCCTCATATGATGGTGTAAATCTTTATAAATTGTCTTTATGGTTTCAGAAAGACTTCCAAGATATTCTTCCATTGGTTTCTTTCTTTAGTTTACTTGATGCTGCATTTCATTTCAATATCATTTCTTTCATTCCTTATCTCTAGCACTTTCATCATCTTCACTATAAACACAGGCTTTACCTTTTGGAAAAGTACTTAATTTAATTGAAGATGTGTGTTTGTATACTATTATCTCCGAGTGGAGATTGTGGAGGAACATTGCCAATCCCTTGGCCACAAGCAGAATTAGCGGAGAAAAGCTAGTCAAGCAAACTATTTTCCTTTGACACGTAATATTATGTTGATGATTAACAATGATACGCATTCTCAAAATGATGTTTAGGGGGGTGATATTTACGATTCTATCCTCTGTATTTTCTTCTCTTATACTATTGATGCGGCACAAGTGTTCCTCATTTTTTCTCCTCTATAAAATTGGGAAGTTGGTGTTCCTGCCGCATTGTGCAATGTGCGTTGGAATTAACTGAAACTGATGCTAGCTGCCACAAATATATCCTTATTGTTAATGGTGCAACAAAATTATTCATCCTTGTATATTTGATTATCTGAGGATGTTCAGGATCAGAAGGGATTCACTTTGAACGTGTATTTAGCATGTTGTTACCATTCTATTTTTTTATAATCATTTATTTTCATCTGAACCTTTCTAACTATAATTCATGGATTTTTGGCATGTTTCAGGTGTTCATGTTGAGGAGAGCCTCTGAGGAGCCGAGAGGCCACGCAGCTGCCATTATGACAGAGGTTTTGGCAGATGCTGAGTGCAAAGGAGTCATCAATGCATCTCAGAAGAAATTACTTCTGCAGCAACTGGCTCTCAATCTATCCTAGATTCCAATTTCTAAACCCTCCCTCATTTTGCCTCCTAATTTCTCGCATTTTGTCCCACTAACATATTGCGTGTCCTTCCTCGCATTCCTTTCTGGAATTCCAATTTCACATCCTTTTTTATTTCCTTAATTTTTTTTGGGGTCATTTTGACCATAACAGGATCTTTCCTTTTTACCAAACTCTTTTGTAGAAGCAATTGGAAACCCCAAAGTGAGACTGACAGCCCCACGAGACGCCAGCAAGCCAGCTGACATAGGATCATTGTAAATGAGAGATTGTAAATGAGAGTTTTGTGCCTATTGTGATACATGTTACAAACATAAATTAAACAATATATATAGAAACATTTATGTCTTTTGAATTTTTCCTTTACGATTATCGAAATCTCATTTTACTTTACTCGGCAAGAGAGGAAATAGCTCACCATCGTTTCCAAGAAAGAGGGTTTAATTTAACATGGAGACCGCTGGATGAACCATTGGCTAGACCTTATTGGTGAACCGACACCTTCCATTTAACATGGAGACCGCTGGATGAACCATCGGCTAGACCATTGAACTGGTGAGCCGACACCTTCGTCGATTCAAGCTTCGCTTCGGGTAAATAACATGATAACTGCCACTTATTGGCCCAATAACAATCCCACGTTCTTTATTCTACATTCCTTCATACGTGCGAACCATCTCTTCGGTAAAAATAACACGAGACTTCTTTACCAATTCGATATTGCCTATAATGACAATATCATCCGCGTATAAGAGTAAATAGATTAGATGATGTTATTGTCTAATGAATGAACAAATAAACTATAATTGGCTTTGCTGCAATTGAAACCAATCTTGATTAAAAGATTGGTAAAGCGATGGAACCATATTATAGAGCATTATTCTCTAGAGACAATCAAGGCAGTAATCAAACAGAAAGTCACTTACAGCACTAGGAAATGTTTTTAGAATAAAATAATATTGAAAATAGACCTCACCTTGCAATGCTTGTTCGATCTTGACCATATTTGAAATTAAACCAATCAAATAGGAATTTATAAAAAATAAATGTAAGAAAAGAAAATCACACAGACCTTGCAATGCTTGTTCATAAGAATAACCAACACTAAATAACAAGAAAAAGCACATCAACAATGGCCTGTTGTCTTAGGCTTGAAACCTGAACTCTATGGTATTGTCTGTATAAGAAATAGAAGAAGTATATCAATGGCAATTGGGGCCATGTAGAGTGATAATGGTATGGAAATAAAAAACATTTGTTACACAGCTGTGGATTAGAGCAGTAGGGATAAAATCTCTACAATGATAAGAATTGGAATTGGGTATTACTAATTTTTATCCTTGAATTAAAGTAAGCGTAAAAAGCCAGAAGAATCCAATTGTGGAATAGTACTTAATGATGGTCGCAAGAAAGTCTCACTGCAATAAATAGTCATTGTTGTGGAAAGAGCCATTCTAACAAGACTTGAGGAAGAAAAGGCAAGGCTACACACACACTTGAATTAAAGTTAAAGATAAAGTAATTAAACACTGAAATTAACAAAATAAAAAAATTAAAGTAATTAAACACTGAAATTAACAAAAAAAATAAAAATAAAATAGCCCAAACAAATTAAAAAAGTACCCTGAAAACCGAGAAACTATCTGCTTTTTTTCTCTCCCTAACTTTTAACATCTATGGATGACATTTTCTTATTCAGTCTTCTTCATGACTAAGAATTCGTTTGGTATGGTGGTTGATTTGTGTTTTGCGGCTTTTGCCCCAACCATAGTTTATAGTTATTTGGTTAAAAATTTAATGTTTTATTTTAAGATGGGTCCCACTAAAAAATTAGTTCATACCATATATTTTGCTAAAGCTAAACATTATTACTTTTAATTATTTTACCGAGCATTCCACACAGCTTAACCTGTTTCTGAAATAAAAAATTAACATTTTGTTCTTGTTTTTATGTTTGGACTCTTTTATGCCTCCATGTTGTCTTTTTTTCATGTTGCAATCAGTTTTGCCTTCCCTCCTCAGACTCCTTGTATTCATTTGCTGATCCGATATGATGTAGGTTGGGTCAAATTTTAAAATTAATTTTTTTTTATATATATATATATGTAATTTTTTTATTTTTATTGTGTATTTATTTGTAATTTTAGATTACTATAAAAAATTAGTCCATGGTCCACAAGGATCTTGATAGTATTTTGCTATATTTTTTATGTATTAATAATTATTTACTTATGTAATTTAACATTATAAAATAAATATTTTTTTTAATTATTTTATCATCAACAATACATCTTTTAGTTGTATTTTCAAACATAGTTTTAATCAAATACATATTTTATATTGTTTGCTATACAACTTTAATCATAATTTTTATCAAACACATATCTAAATTAAACTAATTACAACTAATCATTTTTTTTAAAACTTTCTTTTTTAAATCACACACACAAAAACTACATTAAAAAAAGTACATATTCTAAGCCTTAAACTTCTCACTACAAAACAAAACCCACAATAAATGAAACAACTATGTTTCATTGGCAAGCTTAATTCAACAGTCATAGACTTATAGCCCACGTCATCTTTTCGAGTGAAAAAAATAATTAAATCTAAATTAGTTGCTAAATTGAGAATGAAATATACCCATTTGAATGCTATATAATCATGGGCTATTTAGGGCAACTGATTATATGCTTTAACCAGTTTATAAAGACTTGTTTTTAATCTGATACAATGGTTTGCATGAGAAAGTAAAAATTAGCTCGGAAAGAGAAGTAGATATATATGTCTTTACCTGAAGATTTCTACCATATCTCTTGCCTTAAAGATCTGAAAGGTAACAGTATTAAAAACGAGGTTGCAGAGAGGTTGTCCTTTGACACTACAAAAGAGATTATATGCTTTTAGAAAGGTTGAAGGGCGGTTTGAAATAATGTTAAATGTTGTCTTGTAAAGTATTTTTAATTTTAAAATATTTTAAAATTTTTAAAATCAATATATCAAAATAATTAGAAAACATTAAGAAAAAATAATTTAAAACTCATGTTTTTTTTAAAAAAAAATTGGCTAGCTAGAGATACCATGCATTAGATCTAAGATAAAATGATTTTTGTTAATCTCTCTAATATATCATTTTAAGTGAGGAATAATCAAGAAACTGAGTTATTTTTTGTTTATGTTTCTTTTATGTGAGAGATGCTATACTCATCCATGTAGGGAAACAATTGTGAAATACTGATCCTCACGTAACTGAGAATATGGAACTTGAAAGAAAAGCTAGCGACCCTGTCCCAGAGACAATATAAACATAGAGATACTCATCAGAATACACAAAAAATTAATAGAAAAGAAAAGGGCAACTTACGTAGACCTTCAGATTCATATAGATTCATAATTACAACCATGAAGAGAGAGGAAATAAGTAAAACTAAAAGAGAGAGAACTTTACCAGATGTTGATATTGAGAATTGCAACCAGCTAGCTAGGAGAATCATAAGATGAAAAGCAAAGAAATTGTAGCAAATGATGGTTGGAAGGAAATGGAGCCTAGTCCGAGAATCATTTAGGTTCAAGATAGGCATCGATTATCTGGGCTGTCATCAGATAGTGCCATTTATGTATAATCATGGCCTCCATGAACCCAGACAACTTTCCTCTCAATTTTACCATCAGAGATGAACTCATGCTACATCTCTTCTGCGAAAAAAAAGAAGAAAGATCCAACAGAAGAACTGAATTTGCGCATAAAATGCATACATAACTTTATTGGTTGAGGGGGATGAAGCCTGGTCCGAAGCCTTAACAGTTGTTTCTTGAGAGGAAACTCTTTGCTTAAGCTTCGAGCCAGCCAACATTCCCCTCAAATCACGCACATATTCTTTCTCCACTGTGTAGAAACCTTACCCCATATAGAGTTTTGACTTGTAGCAGCAGAGAAAGTAGCTAGGAAAGGGTTTTTGAATCTCCCTGTGTAGAAACCCTAACCCATGTAAAGTTCTGACTTGTAGCAGCAGAGAAAGTTGACTAGTAGCAGCAGAGAAAATAGAAAAGGGTTTGTGAAGCACTTGATCTAATCAAGAAGTTGGGCCATGAATTAAGTTGACTCCGGTAAATCAAAAAAATAAATAAAAAAATCTATTATAAATCCCTTTAATATCCCCTCATGTCCGGGTCAAAGCAATTAACATTTTATAATTTTGATAGATACTTTATCACAAGCAACATTTTCATTATTAGAAAGTTTAAGTTTTTATAATATTATAGTTCAAGTTTGATGCAAAAATACATTAAAAACCAATGCAATACACATTGATGCATTAATCAATTGAAGTATAAAGGTAGTGTAATAAGTAACACAAGAAAATCAAAATATTAAAATATTAAAGAAAATTCTTTTATCAATAACTTATCTGCAATAACTTAATTAGAAACATTTTCAATCATCATATACATAATGTTTTTAGATCTAATACATAAAAACACCTCTCTATATAACTTATACAAAAACCTAGCGGTCTTTGAAACCTCTTATGCATCCATATATTTCAAAAAAATAGTTTTTTTAGAATAATAAATTAATAAATTAATTAAAATTCTTTTCTTTTAATCTGTTTGTTCATTAATTATTAATGTGCAACCAATCTTTTTATAAGTTTATTGATAACTCTCCACATAAAGTTTAACTTCATTAATCGTCTTTGCTAAGTAATAACTACAAAGGGCATGGAAGTTTGGTCTTTTAAAACCATGATTCAAGGTTGTCATAACATTTATAGCATGCTGATAATAAACAAAGTTAATTGCATTGATCACATCATTCAACTATTTTTTTATTTTGCTAACTTTAGAACACCATGAGTTATCCTCAATATGAAATATAAATATATTGTTGCAACTTTCTTATGTTTTCCAAAACTTATGTCCAATTATTTTTCTTTTATGATATTCTTCGGTGCTAACATCTTTTTTGACCACTACCATCTAATTGTGTAATCATTCACTCTTTATTCTTCATCTATTGTACACTATAATGATTGAATTTTTTTTTACATTTTTCTAACTCTTTTTTTCTTCTTAATATTTTTTGAAGTTTCAAAAGCATTTAATGATGAACATCCAGATGAAATTTGCGATATTGTTTCATTTCTCTTTTAATTCTTACTAAATGCTACTTAAATTGATTAATGCCACCACCCACAAAAGCTTTATCATATTATAAGCATACTAATTTTATTTTTTTACATCCCACACTTAGTCTAAGAGATTCTCTACAATGACCTTAAGCCACATTTGTTTTTTCCTCTTATACCACTGGATATAAAAATTGAAAGATGATATGATTGGACCATTGAAGGATCAATATCAATATTTGAAGTGCTACCATGCTAAGAAGACATTAATATATATACTAGACTACTACCAATCTACTTCTAGACATTCATTTAGACATACATATTAATTTGTTATCATTTGATCCCTTCCATTTCTCATCCAAACTATTTTTATAACACTTTAGGTTGCTGTACATTAGACTTGCAGTGTTTTCATCTTCATCTTTCATTATTAATTATAAGACACCATATCACCCTTTTATTTTCTTACATAAATGTAAATGGATTAAAATCATGCCAAGGTTTGATTAATCATAGAATTTGGAAGAAATTTCTTTTAAAAGTTATTAATTTAGTTAAATCAGGATTTTGAAAACTCAATGCAATTGAAAACATGGTTTTGGAAAAACTACTATTTATTGCATTTTGGTACAGACCATAATTTTCTCTAACAAAGTTATTAGATAAAAAATAAAACAAAAATGATTTAGGTCATAATTGACATTATATTTCAATCATATTTTTAAATTTTTTTAGTTTAAAATATTTTTTATATTATTTTTATGTACTGATATTAGAAATACATGTTAAAAAATAATAAAAAATATTATTTTAATATAATTCTAAACAAAAATATTTTAAAATACAATTTTTTCAGCAACTTTCACTAAATCAGTCAAAACTCTTTTTTGATAGGCCAGTGACCACAATGATAAATTGCTCGAGTTCGTTGAGTGACTATTTGATTAATGTACCTTTTTACGCTGTATTTATTAATTAGCACGGAATATATTACCAAGGAAAAAAAATGAAAATATTCACAGTTTATATTCAGGTCAAAGCAGATACCTCCTAGAAACACGTCGGTGCAAAGACGGAGGTGCCAGGAATATAAATCCTATTCGTTCAACTTCAAGATCTGACGGCTAGAGGGATACCTCCTTAGAACCCGACATGTCGGTGGCAGCGGAAGCCTAGGGTAGGGGACCGAGGAAAAAACACAGCCCGAAAAAGGAGGAAGACAAAGGAGTTTTTACGGAATAAAATAATATTTTTATCTTAAGTCAAAACACCGGTCAAAACTCGAAGTAATCGACGGCTCGGATTTTATGATCCCATAACAGCAGTCAATGCGGAGAGAGAAAGGAGGTGACGTTAGCTGTGGAGTGGGTCCCACTTAAAGAGGAGACAGGGCGCGTGGATTCTGTGGGTCATGTACTCAGGACTCTTACGTGTAGGATTGGGATTGGGTGCACTTCATGTGTGGGGACCGCTTCTGTGGGTATTATTATTATTATGTTTTTTTTAACAAGGATGTTAAATATTATATGTTCATGCTGCTGCTGCTGCTGCTGCTGGCGGGGGCTTTACAAGATGAGGTGATGAAAGATCGAAAAACAATTGATAGTGTCAGTGACATTAATTTCAGGTTGTTTAAAGAATTCATTTCTATGAAATATATATATATATAAGTTGGTATTCTAGGGAAAAAAAAAAAAAAAACCCTTCAACACCCTTGGAATGGATAAATAAATATGTAGGATAGAAATGTTACAAAAACCAAGTGGGAAGGAAATTAATGCAATTTTCAGAAGAAATTTAATGGTGTCCTTTACATGCCTTTATGGTGTAATTGAATTTTGCATCCAACAAAACCAACGTTGGGGCCATTTAGTTAAAATGAAAAGAGGAAAAACACTTAAAGGGATCAATATTTTAATATGATGCATAGATTGCTACACCGTAATAATGTATTTGTTCTCATAACAACATATGAAGTGAAAATTAAGAGGCAAAATAATCTTTTCTTAAGTTTCAATTGCATTATTAAATTGATTAGAAATAAATTGATTCTCATATTTTTTAGTATAGTAAAATGATTTCATTACACTCAATAAACAAAATAAATAAGTTGGCGCACAAGGGCACTTTAATTTTCTCTCTTTTTTCAAAATATAAAAATAATTAAAGTACTCCTAAAATATTTTACTTAACTAGCTAGGTGGGTTAATTTTTTTGTATTTTTACCATGGTTTTTTTGTCATAATCAAATGCATTAAAAGGTAATTTGATATTTTAATAAATTAATTAATATGTATTTACACGTATTAGCATACCAGTGACTTTCAAACTTTTTATTATTATTATTACATAATGTCAAACTAAATACTCAACTAGTTTAATCAACCTGTATTAGCTTCTTTCAAAGATGATGTCCGAGTGCTGCTTCCCTTTAAAGAATCTGATATGTGTGGTCATTACATCTTCGGACTCTACTGGGATGGATACACCTGTAAGAGAATCATCAGTGCTTCCTTTGGGAAAAAAATAAAAAAGGAAGCGAGGAGTTTGGAGACAAACAAAAGGAGATTTGAGAGCGGTTAGTAGCTACCAACAGAAACGGAAATCTCTGCAGAAACTGAAAGATTTATTAACACGTCAGTAAAAACGTCCATCACTGTTTCCATTATGACTTCGTTCAGTTCACGCCTAACGATCAAGGCCGCTATATATACCATTTCTTGCCTCCAAATCCTAGTGGTGAACCACTTTTCTTACCATTTATTGCCTTGGATAACTTTTTTAATAACCTTAAAAAAATATAAAAATACAAGGAAATAAAAAATTTGATATATAATACATCAAAAATTTTAAAATTTTAAAATATTGATATATTAAATGATATATTTTTAAAAAAATTCACAAAATCAACACATTAAATAAATTTGAATCTAATATATTTAACTCATGAAATTTATGATATGAGATATGAGCCCGTGATAATATCATAAAATTCAAATTAAAACAAAATAAAAAATTTAATTATAATTAATTAAATATTAAAAGCCTAAAACAAAAATAAAAATAAAAATAAAAATAAAAATAAAACATTTTATTTTTTTTAAAACAATAACTTAAGCAAATTTAGAATAGTAATTCGTGGTATGTTACAGTCTAAACTAAATTATTTCTAACATAGAGATGCCAAAGTTTTTAAAGAAAGAAAAATCTGAAATTCAAGTCATTAACATGATTAAAAAACATGTATCAAATTCTAGTAACAAACAAATTGAAGGAATGTTGTGACATATTACAAGAACATGCATGGAAACCAAGGGGAAAAAAAAAAGAAATGAAAGAAAAACAAGCCAATTGTCGCCAAACCATTGGAAATTCTGTCACATTCGCTGTCTAGGAAAGCAGACTTCGCCACTGTGAATAAAAAAACATCAAAAAAGCTGATTTTCCTCTGTCATAAACCGCTACATACACAACTCAAAGACGACAGGGTGACTCACTTACTGACATCTTCCACAAACATGTCAATAACTTTGTTTTTATTAACTAAATTACCAAATCTCCCTCGAAACCATATGATTATTGCAAAAGAAAAAAAAACAACATAAAAAGACAAATATACCCCTAACACCAGGCCTAAAATTTTTTTATTGCAGGGGCAATATAATAATTACATTGTGCAAAAAAAAAAAAACAAAGAAAAACTAAATTATCCTTCAACAATTTTAGAATGACCAAAGAACCTAGGAAAAAAAAAACCATTCAACTCTTGAAAGACTGTTTTATGTGATTATTTTAAGAATAAAATCACCAATTGACTATTACAATTCACAATAAAATACATGTATACAGTGGTTTTCCCACATATTTTAAGTTTTCGTACCGTAACAGTTTTCTTTTGGTAAATTAAGGATATACAGGTTACATTGACCTCATCATGTACAGTGCACCGTTCTGGAGTTCGGAGTATGAACAGATGGTCTCGGAGTTGATGACTGATGATTATTTAATTGGCATTTGAATATGTTAAAGCCAAATAATGAATGAAATAACAGTAAAAACTCTAAACCGCTTCCATTCACTGAAGAACCTTAACCATGGCTTAAGCATCAACACTTTCAAGTATGGCACCTGTGTGATTAAACCCACATGACACTTCCAATGCTTTCATTTTCTTCTCGAAGGCAACCACTGTAGGATTTACGTAGTCAAAATCATCCCCGTGACCCTGTATGCAATATCCTCAGCTCGTAACTCGTAAAGACAAATATGAATGCGCACAAGAAGCACAATAACAATGAATTTACAGAGATAATAACAAAAAAAATGCACGGTGTGCTCCAACACAGCAAACCAATCATATGCTAAAGGTCAAATGAACTGAAGAACATTTTGTGCTTGTTTTGAAATAACATTTTGAAGTAATTTTCAGTACTTTCACCATAGCAGAAAACCACGCGGGATAGAACTTTGATGTTACCATATAAAATCTAATAATGCATTTACCAAAATATCATCAAAATAAACTAAAAGTTAGTGTCTCGTATCAAGTAAAAGTGACAAGCATTTAATGGTACAGGCTCATGAACTATATGTTAGCATCTAATATTATTGGTATAGTGGACAAGATTAATCATTTCACAATAAGGAAAAGATTGTAAGGGGGAATTAAAAATAATACTCAGACTTGTTTATCCAGAAATGTATTCAACCTTGGAACTTACTGTAGGCACCATTGCCATTGGCTATCTATTGCCTGATGATTTCAAGTATCATTGTTGATCATCTATTACTTATCATGGCCACCGCGGACCACTGAAAAAAAAATTAATGGTAATGCAAATATCTGTTTTCTTTTTTCTTTTTTCTCAAAAAGAAACAAAAACCTGTTTTTACTACATGCTGAGGCGTTGATATTTAAAATGATGTTTTCAAGCATCGCACATGACTAATTGGAAGAAGGTAATTTCATAGTATACAGGAGAAGAGAAAGCAAACCAATTGTCCACCGGAAGAAAGTCCATCTTCAGAAAATGTTCCATGTGAACCTCCCCAGCCCCAGGTAAACACTTTGCCTTCTGAAGGTTAAGGTTAATAATTAAACTCGGCTATTTGATTCAAGTAATCAAAGCAAAAAATTATTTTACACAATACAATGCATTGTGCATGGCATAAAAAAGAAAAATTATATACTTCAAGAAGAGAGCTAATCATTTGAACAAAATGGAAAAAATACTTCCACTTCACGGTTATGTTTCACAATTTTTCATCACCGCCCCTTGTTTTTTACCTTAAAACCAATTGAAAATGGATCATTCTATGATACCATTTGATATTGCGATAATTTTTGTTATGTGTCAACCACATAGAAAAAATCATTTGGTTAATTAAAATTTGATATTGTGATAGTTTTTATTTTGTGCCAACCACAGAGAAAAAATCATTTGATTAGTCAAATGACTTCTACTTTTTGCACCGGATTTCACAAATAATTACATTTCAAATCTTAAATTTATAGAAATTAAAATAACCTATTTTTTTTTTTATAAAGACCTACCTTTTTATTTATTTTTAATGTAAGAATTCATCTCACAATAATTTTACTCACAATAATTTTAACCAAACACTTTTTTAATATCTATTTTTTAAAAAACCATAACTAAAAGTATTTTTTTTCAATTACAATCGCAAAAACTATTATAATATCATCCAAATCCACGTACTAAAACAGAATGTGCAGTAACTACAAATGTATATAGAATACAAATTCAACACCACGCTCAATTCTAGTTTCGTAAGAGAACATTTTGCTCTATCTACAAAATAGAAACTAGATCAATCAAGGAAATGTTTTTGGTGGCTAGCGTGGGAGGCAGCTTATACAAGATATTTTACATTGCTTCCACGTCAAACAGCGTAAACATATCTTCTGTCTTTTTCAACAAATACAATTATAGCATGAATATGTGAGTGTCTATGCTTTATAGTCAGTCAACACACGAATTTTATTTATATAAAAATATATTTATTATTAATAAAATTTCTTTTTTATTTTTAATATTAATTTATGTTTAATTAATAAATCTAATAATTGATTAATAAAAAAATAAAGATAAAGTTGTTAGCACAAAATATTTTGCAAATAAAATTATAAAGTAATTATAATAATAAAATTCCTAATGTATCGAAGCATTATTTTTAAATGTTCTTAGTTAATATTTTATTAAGATTAGAGATTAGTTAAAACGGTAAAGATTGATACATATTAAGTTTTTTTTATATAAAAAAATAATTGTTCTTATAAGCTAAGGTATAACAGATATTTGAAACTAATATATAAATGCTTGATAAATGATACGTACACTAAACTAACTCACATAAATCATATGAAAAGTTCATACGGGAGATCATATATATTCATAAAAATATTTACGTGATAATTGTGTTAAGTAATTCTTAAATTTGACATTACTAAATTATCTTATGTAAAAAATATTAAATAATACATATATTAAATATTACATGAACTATATAAATGTATTTGAATGATCAAGAGATGATTATCACCCTAGATAAATTAAAAAAAAAAAATTCATGTATTCTCAAATAATATTAATTATAAAATCCTTGGGTAAGGTAAAGTTTCAAATCTTGTTCAAATAATCAATGACTATAATGTTAAAAACAAACATGATAATAAAAAAAACAAACTCAATGTTATAATGTTATCAAAATATTCTTGATAAAAAAATAATAATTATACTTAGAAGTTGCTTGGTAAAAGGTTAAATTAAATCATTTATGACTTTTCTAATATTTGAAAATCATAATATATTGCTAGCGATGCACTTGATCTTCAAATATAGATAAATCAATTGTTAAATTAATAATAAATTAAAATTTTCAATTTATTTAATCCTAGTTTATTTAGAATTATGATTTATATTTGAGTAAACTTATTAGAAATCTAATTACTCACACATATTAAAAACTATTGATAAAAAATTAAACTGAAACAATTAATTTGTGACTTGATTGTGATTGTGAATAAATTTTAGAGATTAATAACCGGAATGTAATTAATATAAATGATTACAACTAGTAGACCTAGAAAAATCAAATAAAAATTTGATTGAATAAATTTTTTAAAACTATTCTGAAATAGTAATAAATGTGCTATTTTTTAGAGGGCAGAGTGCTATTTTATCATTTATAAGGTTATTAAATTTTCCTTTTAAATGAAATGTTATGCCTTATATTTTCTATAAATTAGGATACATAACTCTATCTATACAGATCAACAGGGTAGAGAAAAGAAAGACTAACAAAAAAATCTAATCAATAAATAATCTTTACTCAAATCTTAAACGACCCTAAATTGTCTAACAAAATTCATGGGACCCTTGAGAAAAATTTAAATTACTATTTCCACCGCGTCTTAGATTTTTGGAAACCCAACAGAATATATCATTACAACCCCAACAGAATAGAAAAATCCTTATTACCATGCTAGCAAAGTTAGAAATCTATATCTGAAACTACAGATTTACATTTAAATTTCAAACTAAAATATAGAGTACCTGAAATCGCTGCTGTATGCTTCCAACCACAGGATACCTGTGTATCACAAAACCATCAAAACAAGAATCTAATCAATCATTTATATTAAGAATGCCATATCCCTACTTGGAAACAGAGCGGAAACAGAGCACAAGTCAAAGTAACACCCTTTAAATTTATTTCTGAATCAGAATGTAACAAGATAGCCCTATAACATATTTGTCCAAGAAACAGCAGTATATAAACCTTTTCAACAGGAGATCTCAAAAAAGGGCCTTCAATTCGCTCCGGAATATGCAAGACATCAATAGAACTGTCAACCAAACATATTTTATCCAAAAACACATGTCAGTGTTCAACAAACAAAACTTTCATCTGTAATCCTACTGTGAACAACATCAACATTAATGGATCAAGCGGTGAACATTCAACGAGCCTAAACTTCAAGATTGAGGGAATATAGATACCCGTTGCCAAGACAACCATTTTCATTTGAGCCCCAAGTGTATAGTTCACCACTACCTATGACAAGGTAGTGAAAGGAAAAGAAAACATGTTAGATTACACTAAGCATAAGTATATACATGTGTGTGTGTTGTTGAGTGTGCTGCTGCTGTTTTTGTTGTGTGTGGGGGAGATCAATTTTTTTCTAAAATCTAGTCACTGGAACCACTGGGTATAAAGACAATCCCTTTCATGGGTCAGTGAAGATGAATGTAGTTTAGGCACTTCTCAACAGGTCTCTTAACAAAAAATCAAGAAGATTTACATAAACCATCAGGCTAATGTTCTAAAGTCCAATTCATTCATACCATCCTTTTAGGATCAGATTGATGAAACTAGGGATTGACAATCCTCCTGAAATGCCAACTGGCAAAATATTCATGAAATTTACCCATGACGACCTGCAGCGATTCCCTTACAATGTCCCAAACAATTAGAACAAAAGCACAGCGAAACTTTGGACCAAAGCTACTTTCGTTACTTCTAACTCAAAATATATCTGCAAATATATATGTTTTATTGGAAACAGAACAGTTAATCGGTTCTTCAATCATAGATCTAGAAATATCTTCATGCTAAGACAAAACCCACAACAGTGAGCAATTCCATCATTACAAAATCAAGCTTCCTGATAAATGACCACCTTTATCCTCCATATCTTTAATAAAATTATTCTTTCTGACAATTAGCATCCCTTTGAAACAGCCTGGTATATTCCATTCGTTCACCATTTCTTTCTGACCATTAGTGTCCTTTCCCAACTTTTTTTTGGGATCAGAGCATAAAAATAACTAATCAGCTTATTTTGATACTGTTAGGATTTTTATTTTCAGCACATCCCTGCTCCTCAACTCTCTTCATATTCCCATCTCCTTTAACATAATACGAAATGATGGCACTGATATTTATACACCTCTACATTCAAACACACAAACAGGTATGCACAAAAATATGTGAATATGAAATACAAATACTATAAAGAAACTAAGAAATTACTAGTTATAACACATGTGTGATAGCCACCACATGCTACTTCTTGAGAGTAAGGCAATTTGCCTATCATAGATGGTGTCGTTGTGTTGTTCGCATCTCCAAAAGCCTATAAAATTTTCTCAAAAGAAATCATTTCCAGCAGATGGATTACAAAATCAGAAAATGATTGCTTACAACCAATATAAACACCAATTCTAGCACTGACCAGTTTATCTACTGCTTTTTCACCAAATATGTAGACAGAGCCGTTCTCTGCAATATTAAAAATTCACACAAGCTAGAGATGTTAAAAGTAAATCTACAAAGCATCAGCCTTATATGAACACAGAGAAAAAAATATCATAGAGAGGAAGCTCAATACCATCAATGCAGGCTGAATGAAGCAAGCCGGCAGCAATGTTTTTAACCTACAAATCCATTCGCACTGTAGCCATGAGACAATGATCAATGATGGAAATGAATTTCCATTCCAGAGATGACATTAACAATCAACAATTGAAATCTTATCTGTAAAATACCTTAACCCCTTCAAGTTTCTTAATGTGTCTAGGTGTATATTCACTGCAAAATAATAAAAAATATATAGAAATATGTTAAAATACATAATTAACAAATGGAAAGACATGGCTGACTAGCAGAATCAATTTCAGAAGGCCCATAGAATCCCAACACACATAGACACGTCTTGAGGCATCTTATACAAATGCTTGACACCTCAATTTATGTGCGTGTAGCATCAGGTGCTAACCATGGGAGTTGCTCAAACAAATCCCCTTTCACACAAATATGGGTCGATTTGAATAATTGATGCCAGGCTTGGTACACATTGAGTTCACCCCTTCCCAACTCAGTTGCTAGGTCAGAACTATAACCCTATTAACACTCTAAAGATACATAACACAAAATATGGATAAGGCCATTCTTAAACAAACCAGTGATTGATGTGTGTGTGTGTGTTTGTGGATGCTCATGCCTTTCTAGTCAAATGGCATCTATTGACCATGCTGCTTCTCTACAGCCCGTGGAATATATAATTTAAGCACACTGGGCTAAATATTCAAAACACAGTTATAAAAGATTGTTTCTAGCGAGCATTGGACTGGCGAAAGAATAAAAACAGGAAGCATAGCCCTAACATACCTTACTAAGCAAACTAAACTACAATCTTAGGGAAACAATTTGTAGCCTGAATGGTAAACAAACTAATGCCTACCCTTGATGTGAGCCCTAATTGATCAATGGTGGAAATGAATTCATGCCCCATTTGCGGCATGGAATTCTTGCCACCCAGGATGATTTGTGACCTTAAAATAAGATATAGAAGTACTACAGCAATATTATCCCACAAACCAGTGGTACACATTTATATCGCGTACGTAACTTTTGACACAATCAGTAAGTCATCATATTCCAATACTAGAAAGGGATAGTCCTTTGGATTTAAGAGGAAACAAAACGAACTGAATTTCACATAAAACAACTGATGAGCTAGCAATAATCAAATTCAACCTGCTGCTTCTAAAAAACCCCAAAAGACTTGATTGATGGCCATGACCAAGTCGCCCAGATCCTCCTCCTCCCCAACTCAAGGCCTGACCTCCATCTGATAAATATAAGCAGCAATCAATACAAAACACTGTTTAGACCACACCACTTTCCTATAGTCACAGGAAACAGTGAGTGATAACAAGGAGGGGAAAAAATCACTGTAAGATTTTCCTTCTACAGACCAGTAACTGCAATTGAGTGCTCTGAAGCCAAAGCTACCATTTTAACGTTGATTCCGCTCAAACATTCTACTTTTGTTGGTACAGGGACTACATTTTCAGCCTCTGCATATCAGTGAAAAGTACAAAGTAACCAGGCCTTGAGTTTTTGTTTCAAACAAGTAAAAGATTAAAGGGAGGAACTTCAATAAGAGAAGCTAGGCAATCACAATGATGTCACCTATATTTTTAACACAGTACAAGTTTAGTTTTTACTTTTTCCAAGACCCAGCTGCCCATTTGAGTTCTTTCCCCACGTATAGAGCTCTCCATCCACTACAGGAAATATAGAATGGAATAAGATATACAGTCACAGAAAGCAAATAATACAGCCAATAAACAGAAGAAACAAAATAAAATCCATGAGCTGGCACTTTTATCCCCTCTTCCAATTCCACAGGTACATGATCCCTTCAAACCTTCCCTCCCCTCTTTTCCCAGTTCCCATTGAAAAGAACAAGAAGAAGAAGAAGAAGAACTATAAGTTGAGTGAGTAAATCTTTGAACTCAGAAAGTGACTAAAACAAGCAAGTATAGAAACAACAGTGTGATAGGAAATGAAATATGGCTCGTATAGGTAAATTCCTGAAAAATATGATTAGTTTTGTTTCAAGAATCACTTGGAAGCAACATTCATCCAGCTCCACAAGAATGCTATAGCCACCCACAAACCTGTAATAGCACATGAGTGATGATAACCAGCTGAGATTTGCACAATTTCCTTTTTGAGACCAGAAACTTCAAGTGGCTCCTGCAATTGTGAGGCACATGTACGATACAAAAGAACTACTTCATTGACAATTTTGAAAACAGTCCAATCAATCATAGATTAATGGAAGACACTAAAGTACCATTTATCAGCACAATTCACAACAGAAAATTTTCATAAGAATGTATATTACTTATTTGGAGATAGAGACTTATAAGACCTATTTCTATGTAAAATGGCTCTAAAGAAAAATGAGCTGCTTCCAATCAAGCTTCTTCCAAAGCTGAGAACATCCAATTTCATGAATGAGTTGCTTCAAAAGCTGAGTTCCAAACACCTCTCAAGAAAAATGAGAGAACATCGTTTAAAATGGCTCTGCTATAGATGAGCAGATGCCCCCATGAACAGGTCATCGTTATGAAGTTGACAGGACAAGAGGGCAAGAGATAGACTGAAAATGACTTCATTTGATTTATAACAAAGTTTTCGTTTATAAAAATTTCATACAAAAATGGATCAGATAAGGTAAAGATAAGATGATTTGCGCGGGGCAGCTCCATCTAACAAAAGTTAAGGCTAAGTTTAGGTGTCTTTACTATTTGCTTTGGGTAGGTAACAGGTTCTCATTGATGTTAAATAGGTCTCTCAGAAATTCTCCAAATGGATCAGGGTGAAACATGTTATCAGGAAAAAAAACCATATATGACACCAAATGTTGAGCAAATTGCTAACTACCAAATCTTATTATACAAGTCTCCTGCCCCCGAGAGTTAGGTGCGTAAGGGACCACCACATGCTAGTCCAAACTCCAAATAAACATGCAATCCACTACACCAGCCGCTTAAGACGTATAAATAAAGAATATTTCCACTCTCTATTACAAGCATCGTATTTTCTTACTGTCTTTTCTTTGCAATTTTCTTTGTGGCAGGTCAGGGCTTCATATTCTAAGCACTCTTATGGTAAGGTCCTCCTAGCACATCGAGTGCTACCTGTGATCTGATAGCTCTTTCACTCTCGTTCATTTTGTAGTTATATGGCCATAAACTTCTATCAAACCTTTTCCTTTTCACACCATTTATCACCAACATGCATGTTAATGAAATCACAACATAATGTAGCAAAGAGCCATAAAAGACCTATCATATACTTGATCCCATTGCCTGTCGTCCATGTTGAATAGTTGCTTTAGAAGTCATAATACTCATGGACAAAGGTCTATGTTCTTGTGCCAAGAGAGAGGAACATGACTCCTTGCTCTAAAGGTACAATTGGATAACCCTCTGGTCAACTTAAAACAGACAGCAAACAGCACAAATTCAATAAACTAATGATCCTGCCATAGTTGCATGAACTGTAATTCTACATGATCTAAGGGCTAATGATAGCATAGAGGGAAAAAGACTTTCACCCTACAAAGTAATGGAATCCCAAAACCCAACAGTGAGATGCTATAATAGTTACTTGAACTCCAATTTAAACTCCCAAACTCGCATATTTTCTCTACTTCCGAGAAGATCACAAGTTCAGTGCAACCAAAATTATCTTTTTATACATGCAAATATCAGCGAGAGTATCTTAAAGATCCAGTATCGATTGAAGGAAAGACATCATCTAATGATAGAAGCATAGACAGAGAGGAGAAAGGATTGAAGGAAAAAAACGTTTCTGATACTGTACCATACAATAAGTAGTGTTGTTTGATATGCCGAGCTGTCCAAAATCATTAAGACCGGTGGCATAAACACGCCCAGTTTCTGTCGAGGGAACAATAATTTGTAAGCCTCTACCCAGATACACAAACAACTTGAAATTCATCATCAACAATAACTACTCAAAATCAATTAAACTAAAACAATATAACTCAGGCAAAAAAAATTACAATATATAAGAGATCCACATGTTCCAAAATTGCTAGCTGATATAATTGGAAAAAAAATGTCTATAATCATATTACTCATAGAATTATATTTTCATCTGATCACTTTCTCTTTTTCATCATTTATCCGTTTAAATAAAGCTACAGAATTGAATTAAAAAAAAAAACTGAATACATTGAATTTAATCGAGTTCAATTTTACTCATTTCTCCAAAAGAAGAATCAAAATTCAGTTCTGAGTTATTTCCAAATACCATAAGAATCAATAACACAACTCCAAAAAGAGAAAAAACTTCACAATTCAGGTCAAATGAGAGAAGTAAAACGACAGAGAGAGAGGACCTGTTAAGAAGAGAGTGTGAGCACCGCCACAAGAAATGGATTTGAGATTAGAATTATGAAAGGAAGAGGAATTCATAAGCTTAGGTCTCCACATAGAATCTACGTTTCCGTATCCTAATCTTCCGTAATCACCATTACCCCACACTGCCGCGGATCTCTTTCTTCCTACGCTTGACGACGATGACATCCATCGTTTATAACAATAACCTAATCCTCCTCCTATTAACACACTATTTTTTCTCATTTTCAACCAATTTATTTTCAGGTTTTTCTTGATTCTCGATCGATCCAACCAGTTTTGTGTTTGAAATTGTAGTAATATTTATTTTTTAAAGTATTTTTTATTTTAAAATATATTAAAATAATATTTTTTTTAGTTTTTAAAATTTATTTTTGATATTACCCTATTAAAACAGTCTAAAATTATAAAAAAATTAATTTTTAAAAATCAAAACTTTTTAAAAGTATTTTTTAAATAAAAAACAAATACAAACTATATATAAATAATGGTTTGCTTTATTTTTTTTCTTTTTTTTCAAACTTAGGCATGGTAAGTTTTACTATTCATATCAAGAGCAAACTATTTTTTCATTAAATTATATCTTTATTCTAATTAGAAGAGATTAAGCTTGAGTTTATAATAAAAATACAATATTTAAATATAGAAGACTAACAAGTACAGCACAAAGAAAATATATTTGACAATTTTTTTGGGTAAAAAAGTTAATTTTTTTTCTTTTTAGTTCTTGAATTAAAGAGATGAGGGAGGAATTTTTCTAAAAACAATAATAAAAAAATGGTTGATTAACACACTTTTAAGTGAAATAATCTGTTATTTTTATTTTTAATGTTAATAAATTTTATTTGATGATAAAAATAAAAAAATAGTGATTTTTTCTTTAAATATCTTAGAAAAAAATTCAAACTCTTTTTAAAGATCTTTCATTCCTTTGATTTTGGTTTTTTTTTAATTGATGGTGGGGTATTTTAAAGTTACTATATGATTTGAGAGGGTTTTATTGTATTTTAGAAATTTTTTGAGGTAAAAATAGATTAAAAAATTAGATTCACCCAAGAAAACTCTTTTGTATTTTTTTATTCTTCCCACCAGCAGGCTGAAATTTGGGGTGTTATCCGGTCGACATGTGTCACGTGTTTTATGCCTTTTTTAAAAACAAAAGTTTTTTGTTTTTTTTTTACTAAAATCATTTTTGGCGTCATTCATCAACAACCGTTTATGCGGGCAGAGTGGACAAGGAGGTCCGGATCTCTTATGGCGTCATTCATCCTGCCATTGTTGTTTTCCGAATTTTCTTAAAGGCCCAGGACTGTTGGGCTGAGTTGATAAGCAATTGAAAGTTTTGGTCTTTCTTAGAGGCCCATTCGTGTTGGGCTACGTGGACCAGGAGGATCGGCATAAGTTTTTTGGTTGTCTAAAGGAGGAGTTTTTTATCTCAGATATTTTGGGTTTTGAAGAAAGCCCAAGAAAATAAAAGGTTTAGAATTTTGGTTAATTTCTTTCTTTTTCATGATTTAAGTTATTCAGCTAAGCCAAGCGGTTTTATTAGTTTTACTTGGTCATTATAAATTTTAAAGAATTTAATGCATTATTCACAGAAGTTAGCAGGCTTTGGAAAACACTATGGACTCAAACTCATAAACAATGTTCATTGAAATACTATAAAGAAGGTTTTGCCCTTCGCACCAACAAAATTAAAACTAGTTATTAGGAGTATTGAAGTCTTTTTATATTTTAAAAGCATAATAAGGCAATCAAAATAATCTTAAAAGCAAAATGTTTCAAATCAGCTTCAAAAGGTAATTTAGTACTTTCATAATATTTTTTTTATATATAATTATTATGTTAAATGATGGGCACTTCGGTATTTGATTAGAGAAAGAAAATAATATATATATATATATATATATATATATATATATATATAAAGCAAAGTGATATAACGTCCTTAGAGTCGAAAAGGTAAAATTAGCCTTAAGTGATCTTTTCATCTTATCACAAAAGTTTTTTTTATTATTATCAAGTTAACTTAAAGACAATTGAATGTGTACACATTGTGCATGTGGCATGTACGAATATATTAGAAATGTCCATGTCCATGCACTGCCTCTCTAGGTTTAAAAATATCATTTTGTAGTTGTCATTGAAAGCACCACATCATTCTTATATTTTTGGGGGTGTTGCGTGTAATTGTTGTGTTTTTATCGTTAGTATTCCTTTTTTTTTTTCTTTTCCTTCTCTAAAATGGTAGCTTGATTCTATTTGTTATTGGTATTTTAAATTTAATTTTTATTATTCTGATTTTTATTTTTTTTCTTAACCTTGTTATAAATATTTTATTTATTATCAATTTCATCATTTAATTTCAATTCATTATATATTATATTTTACAATTTGATCTTTATTGTTTTAATTTTTAATTTTTTTACTGGTTATTTTATAAAAATTTTATTTATTTTTAGTTTCGTTTTTCTATTCATTAATTTTTATCAACTTTATCTTTATTCTTTTGATTTTTTAGGTCCTTTTGCTAAATTTATTTTTCTTTTCAATTTCACATTACAATCAATATATAAAATTTATTTTATATTTTAATTTTCATCCATATTTTATGAATGTTTTTTATTGCTATTTATTTTTTAAATAATTTATTAAATTTATTTTTTTCAATTTCATTATCTTTTAATCTTTTTTATTCATTAGTTTTGGTCTTCATTCTTTTGATTGCTAATTATTTTATTTAAATTAAATTATGAAATTCAATATTTTTTTGAATTTCATTATTTTTTAATTTTTTTATCTATCAGATTTAATTTTTATTTTTTAATAGACTTATTATTCAACTTATTATTTTTTCATGATATAATCAAATAATAATAAAAAATATTTTAACTTTTAGAAATTAACTTCCTATAAAAACTACTCTCCAAGATAAAATTACTTTCATACAAATAAAATGGAACTAGATTTGATGGTAAAAGTGAAAAAGAAAAAAGAAAAATCCCCCATTATGATGAATGATCTCTCCAAATTTCAGGCTACCATTTCAGGTGGGCTTTTTTCCACAGAGAACTCTCTCAAAATGGCTAGCAGAGCCTGTGCCACCATCATTAATAATTAATAAAAATCATTAATAATTAATAAAACTCGGCAAGTTCAAAACCAACGGCTAGGGTTTCGACTCTTTAGAAAGAGGGCATGAAGGTCACTGCCACCAACAAAATTAAAACTAGTTATTAGGAGCATTAATTAAAGTTTTTTTATATTTTAAAAGCATAATAAGATAATCAAAATAACCTTAAAAGCAAAACGTTTTAAATCAGCTTCAAAGGATAATTTGGTACTTTCATAATGTTTTTATTTTTATAATTATTATGTTAGATGATGGGCACCTTGGTATTTGATTAAACATAGAAAATAATATAAAAAATAAAAATTAAAACAACTATAATGCCCTTGAGAGTCAAAGAATTAAAATTGGTCTTAATTGATTTTTTCATCTTATCACAATTTTTTTTTTATTTGTATTATCAGGTCAGAGCAATTAAAAGTATATGCATTATATGTGGGGTATATGCCAACATATTGAAAGTGTCCAAGCCCACACACCACCTCTCTAAGTCTAAAAATATTATTTTATCATTGTCATCGGAAGTGCCACAACATTCTCATATTTTTGGGGCAGTACATGTCATTGTTAGGTTGTTTATTGTCAATAAACCTTTTATTTTTTTCTTTTATTTTTTCTTATCTAAAATCACACCTTGATCCTATTTGTTATTGGTATGTCAAGTTCAATTTTTATTCTTTTGATTTTTATTTTTTATTCTTGTTCCTATTATAAATGTTTTATTTATTTTTAATTTCATCATTTAATTTCAATTTGTTATATATTATGTTTCACAAATTGATCCTTATTCTTTTTATTTTAAATTTTTTTATTAGTCATTTATAAAAATTTTATTACTTTTAGTTTCATCTTTCTATTCAAATTAATGGTACATTATTTTTATCAATTTTATCCTTATTTTTTTTATTTTTTAGGTCCTATTGCTAAATTTATTTTTCTTTTCAATTTCACTCTTCAATTAATATATAAAATTTATTTTTAATTTTAATTTTCATCCTTATTCTTTTGAATGTTTTTTTATTACTATGTATTTTATTTTAAATCATTTATAAAATAATATTTTTTAATTTTATTATCTTTCAATCTTTTTTATTCGACATAGTTGATCTTTATTCTTTTGATTGCTAATTATTTTATTCAAATTAAATTATAAAATTGAAATTTTTTTTAATTTCATTCTTCTTCAAATTTTTATTTATCATATTTAATTCTTATTTTTTTAATAAACTTAAAAAAATAAAAGATTAATAAATTATTTTTCAACTTATTATTTTTTCATAACATAACTAAATAATAATTAAAAATAATTTAACTTTTAGAAATTAACTTCCTATAAAAACTACTCTCCAAGATAAAATTACTTTCATACAAATAAAATGGAACTAGATTTGATAGTAAAAGTGAAAAAGAAAAAAGAAAAATGCCCCATTATGATGAATGATCTCTCCAAATTTCAGGCTACCATTTCAGGTGGGCTTTTTTCCACAGAGAACTCTCTCAAAATGGCTAGCAGAGCCTGTGCCACCATCATTAATAATTAATAAAAATCATTAATAATTAATAAAACTCGGCAAGATCAAAACCAACGGCTAGGGTTTCGGCTCTTTAGAAAGAGGGCATGAAGGTCACTGGCCGGGGAACGAGGGATTTTATTATTTAACTGCTAGAAGACAAAGAAAAACCACCTCTTTAGGGTTGGTCGAGAGAGGGCATGAAGGTCACTGCCTGGGGGACGAGAGATTTCATTATTTAACTGCTAGAAGACAAAGAAAAACCACCTCTTTAGGGTTGGTCGAGAGGAGCCAAATGCTTCCATCACATGTGCCATGCTGGAGGAAGGACAGACTACCCTGTAACTTATTCCAGTAACACGAGGACATGCTTGATTGGCTAGGCCTTTTCTGGTTTCGCTTTTTCAGATAAACGGCTAGTTGAGAAGCGAAGCCAAACGAGATAGCAATTGCGTATGATTCTATTCACCAACACAATGATTGACCAATTATTCCGAAAGCAGAGTTGTTTGATAACAATCCTGAAAAAAATTATGACTTTGCTCTTCCCAGCAGAAAAAATATGGACTGATAAGATATTTTTATTTTTTTATACAGTAAAGTGGCTAAAATACCTTTAAAAAAAACTAGTTATACACT